AGAAAACTAAAAACATAGCACTGATGCATTAATCAGTTCTATATCAGTTAAAAATTTGTATTGAAGTATGTAGAAAACTAGTATAAAAACATAACACTGATGCATTAATCAGTTCTATATCAGTTAAAAATTTGTACTGACTGAGAGTTAGTGGGCGTGATTGAGTTAGTAAGTTAACCAGCATGTTTTTTTATAGATTAATTATCAAGAAAATATTTCCAAGTAAGTTGAAACACCATTTGTGAAGTTTGGTCAACAAGCAAACATAGCCTGTATAAAACACCACCGAAAAAATAAATAAATTCATTATCTAATTGATACTTAAAACTATCAGTATTATGGTGAAACTCCATAGTTACTGAATTGAGGGGAAAAAAAACAAAGACAATTGTACTTTTCACAAATACTTCATTTATTAACAACCATGGTTTTGCCAGTAAAGGCGTCATCAGGTACAGACTGAAATTGTTTGTAAATAAGTTTATATACGTTTAACCAAAGAATTGGAAGTAACCTTGACACTCACCTTGAGACAAATAGGGAGGAGCTTAAATTAGTTTGATCATTTAGAACTTTTTCTGGATTTGTTTTTATACATCTATTTATCTTTAAAATTTCTAGGCTATCTGATTTTTTTACCTTTTTTGCAAATATGTAAAATTTTGCAGGTTATTTCCACATCAAATTGGTGTTTAGTTTCAATAAGGTGGAATGCAAAGGTTAAATCCATTTTCCTTAATTTTCAGCTTCTAGAATGTTCTTTAATTCATATTTCAAGAAAAGAGTACTGAGGAAAGAAGAGACCTTAGCTGAACTTGTGGAAAATTGGGAAGGGCTTGCATGATTATCTTACCTGGATGTTCTATGTGAAATGATGAATTTGTTGGCATTTGGCCATCTCAGAGATGGCATAAAAGATACATAAATAAGGCTGTAGCAAAGTAGATGTAAATCATTAAAGATAGCTCTCCAGTTGGCAATAGAACTTGAATCAATTAATGTCAAGATAAACAAATAAAATCACCATTTGAAGCTATGGAATCACCAGATCAGGTATTATTGAAACATCAATTCCCCCTAATGACAGTCTAGAAGAACTGAAAGGATTTGTGAGATATCTAGTTACACAGGTGTTTCAAGTTTAACTTGAAGAGACTTATTGTCAGGATGTACAGACAAAAGTATGCAGGGAATATAAACTCTTCCCAAAAGGTTTCAGAAAAGAGGAACTGTTAAACATGGAAAACTTGGTCATCACAGCCAAGACTGTGAAAAATCAACAGCAGGTAATAAAACAAGGAAAAAATACCATAAGGATGAGTCTCGAAGCCCAACAAGATAAACTGAACAACAAATAACTAACCAGATATGGGAAAACTGGGATTAGATAGACTTTGGGGTGAGATAATAGGTTCATTTTTTAAAGAAACTAGTTCTACAACTACAACTGTTTGGCTCAACTTGGTAATAAAATGAGGGAAATTGCCTCCACAGATGAAGAAAGAAGATGGATTGATGCAAACAGCAAGTGTAAATAAACATCCAGCAAGAGGAAAACAGAAAGTTACCCTTACCGTGAGAGGCATCTCCACACCGCATGATGAGTGGCTAACTAAGAAAAGTGCATACTGGAAACCGACTGCAAGGATGCAAGCATGATCTATAAACAGGAAACCTCTGGGCACTAAATGATAATTAATACACCAGAGGTTGAACTTCCAGTGACAACAAAAAGAGCAGTCATCTTACCACCACCAACTCAAATACCCACACCAGAACTTATTAGAAATAAATTTACATCTAGTTACTGGAGTGTAGTAGAATCAAACACTCCAGTGTTGAGGGATTACTGGCTGGAAGAACTCTCATGGATTTGAATGATAAAGATGTCATCATTATGGTTATGAACACAACAAACCATGAAATTCAAGTCTGGATGGGACATTGCAAGATGTGAAGCTGTGCAGGTAGTACTTCCACATCAGAGAATGACTTCTAATAGTCACCTCTGAGGCAAGATGTAAAAAGTCTGATGTTACACATAAGAACAGCTTTTCACTTCACTTATGAGATCTGTATGGTCAAAGCTGGGGAGATATTAAATCTGATATGTGTCACATTACATAGTATGTTAAAAGAATCTCAAGATACCTTTTCTAGAAAACTCTGTGACTTAGGACGAATACAAAGTATCTCATGAGATTTATCCTGGAGATGCAACCTCAATACTGGCTGAGGCTTTTGAAGAGATAGAAGCTGCAAAGGAAGGAGTGCTAGAACTGAGTACCTGTCATTGGGTATCATCTGTTGCACTTGCAAAGAAAGATTAATTCACAAGGTTCTGTGTAGACTACCTGAAGGTGAAGGATGTTTACCCACTGTCAAGGATTGACTCTACTTTGGATGCTTTATCTGGATGAGAATAGTTTTCAACATTGGATCTGAAGAACAGACATTGGCAAGTGAAATTCAATAAGCAAGTAGAGAGGTGTCAACCTTTACTGTAACAATTATTTTTTTGTATTACCATTTGGTTTATGCAATGCATCTGCTACATTTCAACAAATGATGGAGTATGTTGTCTCTGAACTATCCTGGAATGTGATACTCATCTATTTGGATGACATAATAATGCATGGGAAGACCTCTGATGAGGCTTATGATGGTCTAATGAAGGTTCTGGACTGGTTGTGGAAAGAGAATCTTAAGCTGTATCCAAAAAGTGTGGATTGGTCCATCAACAGACGAGTTTCCTGGAACCCACAGTCAGTACAGAAGGAGTATCTACAGACCAATCCAAGATTGGCTCTGTCCAGAATTGGTTAACACCAAGGAACCTGTATGAGTTAAGATTTCTTAGACTGTGCTTTTACTATGTCATTTTGTAAAATCATTCTGTGACATAGCTTATCCTCTACACAAATTATCTGAAAAACCAAGTAAATTTTGTTAGACTTCTGATTATGAACAAGCATTCAACAAAGAAAAGAAAGATTTAACTGCTACTTTTGTATTATCACAGCCAACTGTTGAAGATTCACTCAGATACAGGTGCCATTGATTTTGCAGAGGGAGAAGTGTTATCATAAGTACTACATGGAAAGGACATGTAACTGCCTGCTATTTTAAGGCAAAGAATGCTGCAGAAAGGCAATATACAACTCAGTAAAAGCAGTTAGGGGCTTTTCATGCCCTAAGTCATTTATATCATTACATATATGGATAAAATTTTATACTCCAGATAGATCATGCCACAGTGAAATGGCCTGTGAAGTTTCACAATACCATAGGTCAGATAGCAAGATGGCTACAGAAACTCCACAAGTACAACTTTAACATCGCAAATCAGCCTGAACAGAACCATGGAAATACTGACAAGTAGAACATCTCTCATTTTGCAGTCCTCTCAACTTCCATTATCTTGGAAGCTGAATAGCCAAATGTCTGTAGTTAAAGACTAGCACTGGTAGAACAACTGCACTTGCACAGATCATTGTTCAGTCTAGTGCAGACTGCTCTTCACACAGAAAAAGTTTTGTATATTATTTCTATCATACAATAGGTGGCAATGCAATAAACTGCATTCACAGTTCACCATGTAACATGATTTGCACATTAGTGGAAACTACCACATCCTTTTTAATATGCAACATCAACAGTCTAGTGTTCTTAGGCACAAAGTGGTCAGCACTGTTAGATTTTATTGCAGAACTTCATTTTGCCTGTTGCACAAGCAAACTAGCTGACAATTTCTGCAGCAAGTCAATCACTAAAATGTCAATGCCTAAAAAATCAGAGACAACTACTTTTGCTCAGTACATGATAGTGCCAAAACGTATTTGGAGACGTGTCTATCATATAGTTTGACACCATTCACCAGAATAAAGATTGTGGTAACTGACCAAGTGGTTGCTAAACATTAAACATCTGATTCACAAAGAGCCAAGTAAGGTTCTGGATCCTCCAGTGTTTATCAAGAACTCAAATTCACACCCATGATTTTAGGTGCAAGCTGGCTGCTACACTCACGTAGGTTGACAGACAGATCTGACTCAGGCTCTTTAGTTTAAATAATTAAGTGCTGCTGTAGCATTGTTTGCTTGAAAAAGTATGTGTGTCCAATGATTCTGTCTGAAAACAGGAAACAGGCATTTAAGTGATCAAATATGTCACAGCTGAAGCAGAAACTTTTCCCTCATAACCATGGCACTTTTAGAAGTAAACCTCCAGCTACTGTGGTGGTGCAACCATAATGCCTAGACCAGGGAAACCTGTTGACTCATTAGAAACCATGGTTGCTGTACCATGCTGTCTTTTGGCATTTGCTGCAGTGGAGCTGGTTGAGTGATAGGTCAATGCATCTTTGGTGGCATTATTAAGCTCTGGATGCTGTTTCCGAGTAGGATTCACAGCTACATTTGACTCTGTTGCTGGCTTTCTCCTTTTCTCCATTGTGCAGCTTGATGTGACCAATTCAAACCATGTTGCCACTGAAAATACCTTTGTGAGAGAAGAGGTGTTCCTCAGTCCAATGTAGTGCCACATGGGTTTGATCAATAGCCCCTAAATAAATATGTTAATGAGCACTTTGTCACAATATTCAAAGACATAGTAGGAAAAGCCTTCCTATGCTTTCTCCTTAAATCAACCTCGTAAGTGGCAAACTTCTCTTGGAATCTTTGTCTTTGAACTTTAAAAAGTCACATCTGTAGATTGTTTTGCTTTCTGCAGGCTCAAATCTACAGTGCAACCCCTTATCAAATGTTCTAGAGCATCAAACGTTGGACTGTCTAAACTCAGCATCAGACATGGGACAGTATTCATCCATTCAAAGTAACACCTTGCTTGAGATGTTTGATGAAATGGTCCAAGCCTTCCTTTCCTGTCCCTTTGAACACTGGCACATTTAGCTGCTTTACCCAAAGGCAACAACTTTCAGCTTCTCTGCTAAAATCTGGCCAAAATATTCTGGGAGTTCATCTTCTTCCTGCAGTCCAGAAATGCATGCATATTGAGAAATGTGGCATCCTTGGGCCACGTCTTCAGTGGGATGACTCGGCATACCATACTTTATCATCACATACCATAGTGTCCTCAGCCATAAGATATCATTTTGAATCTGAAGACCTGGAGGCGTGCATCCTCAAGAATGTGTTATCCTTGGGATAATGTCACTGTTGCATAATTTGGTGCATGGGATAATGATGATGTGACATGCAATACCACATTTTGTCATCACATTACAAAGTGTTCTCAGCTGCAAGATCCAGTTTTGAAGTGTATTCAGCCTACCTTGCTGCCAGCCTTGAAGACTTCAGACTATTTCCTATTTATTGCTGAATCATAGTGAGATGGCATTGCAATAAAATGTGCAGCACTTTTATCAGCATGCCTTTCATCACTCTCCTTGTCCAGAGAGACAACCCTATAAAGGCTTGGGACCTTCATACTACTGCTACCACCATTACCTTTCTCTACTGCCCTGTATATTGACTTTATAACTATTTGAAGTTGCTTTAGGGTCGCCCAGGATTACTCAGCAAAGAGCCCTTCAACCTGTTTGTTCTAAGGACATATCAAGAACTTTGATACTGCTCTCACTCATGTAAAAGGATTAGCATGTTTACAACCTTGAGACATCTGGTTAATGAGAATATGAAATATAATGGAAATTTACAAAAATATTCCATGAATAAATATATATTCTATACTAGTTATGATGAAAGGGTAAAATTCATGACTATTTCAGTCATTAGGTGTGTTTTACCTGTGCCTAGTACATCATACATTAAAGGGTTTTAGTATTGAAGTTTGATTTAAAAGTATTTCTTTTGAAATGTTGATCCAGAGTAAAACTCAACAGAATTTCATACAATAAAACCAATTATCCAATTTATTTCACAGTTCCTACAGCAATTGATCAAGTTTATAAACATTAATTTGTCCAAATAAATAGATACATATTTCAATTGAATTCATATTTAATATAAGAAAGTAAAACTTGATTCAGGTTTTTGTCTTTCATTTTAGTCTGAAAATTCAAGGAAAAATGATAAAATATTAATTTTAATTATTTATTTTTATTCTACACCATAAGACACTAACCAAGAAGCATGTTGTAAAATATTTTTTCTTATTGAGCTAACACTGTCAGCCATCACATTATATTTAGACAGAATAGGTGGACTTACTGAATGTTTTAGTTAAATTAAATTTTCTTTTATTGTCCCTAACAAACTTCATACTGTGTTTTAAGTCCTTCTTCCTTATAAAATAAAACGTTTAGTTATTGATTAAATCAAAGAATCCTTAGAACAGTATGTTGACAGACCAAAGTGACATACAAGGGTTCTTATCACATCTAACCTTATTTCTTAAAGAAAAACATAATACAAATAAACATTTTTTATCTATTTTCAACTACCATTTTCTTGTTATTTTAGGTTATAGATTTTGTTATTCAAAATACAGGAAAGCTTTGTTTGCAAAAACAAAATTCACAACTAATGATTCAGCACTAACACTACAAATGTTATGTATTTACTTTTTCTCTCCAAAGTGCAGTCAGAAATGTGGTATTTTCTTCTGATAACCTTTTATCTCTTCTCAAAAGTTGGGAAAATTCATCTGAAGAAAGGTTACTCTTCAAAGCCTGGCTGAAAATATATCTTTTAATTAGCTAACTATCAAATCAATAATAATAATAATAAACAACAAGAACAAAACTACCTACCTTATTTTCCTGTAATAAACTTCAAAAATATTATCTTTATAATACGGTGGGGTTAGAATGACCCATAAACAACAAATAAACGATTACAACAGTAAGAAAGAGAACTGAAATAGCACATCAGCTCTGCTTAACACTCAAGAACTAATTGAGGATATAGTACAGAAAATATCAGGTAGAGAGCAGCATTTGCTGAGTTGGAATATTGATTGAAAAACTGATGGGGGTCATTCTGACCCCATTCTGACAGTTGAGGGTTAAATATTCTGATTAAAAGACAAGAAAAAGAAATTTCAACTTATACTGTATACCAGAAACCTCAGAATGTACAAAAAAACTTTCATTTTAATTCTAACCCTAATACTTCCCCAAAAAACTATCATTGTTAAAAAGCTAATGACAAGGTCTCAAAACCTTTTTTTTCTTCTTCAAATAAATCAGAAAAACCAGCATATTATAAGTCTTGAAAGATAAGGGTATCCCAATGATTTTATTAAAAACAAGAAACAAAAAAATTAATTTTAAAATCTACTACAACTACAGTCACTCCTTGAATTAAAGGATGAGGTTAAAAGAAACTTAAATAAAATTAATCTTAGAACTGTTCATCAACCTCATACTACTAAAGCAACACCTTAGTTTATTCGATAGACTCCATCCAACCTAAAAGCAGAATCAGTAGAGTAAGACTCCCATGTGAAATCTATTATGGGCCAAACATTAAATACATATATTGAAAAACACAAAAATATTAAATTCTGCTAAATACACACTTCAGGCTTAGCACATTCCCAACTGTAAAAATAGTAAACAAACCCAATAATCAATTTCAACAAGTTTTCCATGAGTTATGGCACACCCTAGAAGACAATAATCACATGAACATAGGTATCGGTACAAGTGTATCGCCAGAATACAACGTGTTACTACCATAATCATATTTAATCACCTCCAATAAATCACAAAATACAGTAACCACCGAGGAAAACATAAGACTTTGACAAACATTTTGCAGGATTTTTAACCATTTGTGTTTTAAACTTAACATTAGGGGAGTGTGTAACTAAAAAGGTTTTGATATTAAAATCAAAATGAAAACAAAGTAAAATACTGCAAGATCAAGTAGCTCATACTAAACATTAATAGTAAATACTTTGGACACAGATTTGTGCCATCCTAATACATAAACTTTGTAATAGTTTAAAACTTTTACCAAAGACTCAATCTTTATCACAAAAACTAGAGAAGTTTATTCCTTTTAAATATTTTGATCTTTCTTATAAGAAGTATGATTTACACTAAGAAGTGATGCTTTGTAATCTGAAAAGATTCTTCTTTCTTAACGAGTTCACCTATTAAACAAGAACTTTCCTGGTCTAATTCTTATCAGCCTTTACTATCCACCAACACAAAGGTTTAACTGATTATAGCATACGCTGTGCACTAGTAATCCTGTTGTGTGGTAAAGCCTAAAATCTGTAAGAACACTGATGACAAATGTAAGACTAAAGAAAGAGATGTACTTAGAAATTATTGAAAATATTAATTTGATCCTTATATGTAATATTTCTGAGATGAAGTTTTTTTTTTTTTTTTT